ACCAAGGATACCTCAAAGCCTTGTTGCTTACTTCCCAAGAAAGTTAAAGGTTCATGTGTTTATATCCATGCCCTCATCAACAAGTCAACTCAAAATTTGAGAAATATAATCAAAAAACATTCAAATGAATATTATTTTGAGTTCATGTTATCATTCATGTACCTTGGAGTGCAATAAAATCCCAAGTACACAAGTTGATTCAAGAAGGTTTGACTAAAAAGTCAACATTTTCAAGCCAAAGTTCCAAAGACTACAACTCCTTCAATTCTACATATTTTTTAGTGCTTATTTTTTCATATGACTCTTCTCAATATCATGTACAACTTCTATTTACTTTACAATATCCAATTAAGCTTGAAGGATCATAAAAAATTTGAAGACATTATAGGTCCTTTGTGGGCTTAGTGAAATTTGACCTATTTTCAAGTGAATTTTTCTCAACTTTCAAGGATCACAACTTCTTCAATTTTTATCATTTGAAGTTGATTCTTTTTGATATCTACTCTTTGTTATGACCTCTACAAGTTTTCTTCAAGTATTAAGATCAAACTATGCTTAAAAAGCCTTGGAATATGTTCGAACATTATAGGTCATTTTTTGCCTAAAAGACTTAGAATTTTTCTAAGTATGGCGACAAGTTTTTTATGCCAACTTCAACACATCATAAATTTCTCCTCAGATGTTCAAATGATACTTTCTTGGAAAATTGTAAACTAGACCATAACGACTACACATTGCAAGAAGAATGAGATCAAAAAGCCTCTTCAGTAAGATGCCCCATTGAGTTGAACATGGTGACTTAAAACTGAAGAAAAATCCATGATCAGAATTTTGGTTCATTTATTCTTCAATTATAGATCAATTTTGCACAAGTTAACCACCTAAACATGTTTAGTGAAGTGTCCAAAGTTTAATTGAGCCTTGAAATGCAAGTTTTAGCTGAATTTTGAGTGGATTCAAGTCACATTTTTGGCATGATGATGGTGCACATGATTATGCTCAATTTCCACTCAATTCACCCCTCTCAGCATTCCATCATCTTCAGATATAAATAGAGGACCTCACTTCCTTCATTTCTAAGCTTTTGAGAGCCATTGAACCTCTGCTTGAACTTTAAAATTTCCTAGAAATTTCCACCATCGGATTTTGAATTATATCTAGTTTCAACCTAATTTCTTTGTTCTAATACCTCCATCGTCATCCTCTGAAGCTTTTGGTTCAAGTCTCAAGCTCCCAGACCTTCTGAATTGCTCTGACCAGATCAAGCTTCTTCAACCTCTGGTCACCATCTCAACAAGGTAGTTAGAAGCTTCAAATCACTTCAAACAAGTTACTGTAATGTAGCTCTTGGCTTGCTGATCATTTCCCCTAACTTATCTGTTGTTGATTGCTTGAGTTCATCATTTATTTTTTGTTTGAGGGTTCGTGTTCATTTATGCGCTTCTCCAAAATTCTCCTCACTCTTTTTCATTAAATGAAAATGGATGGTGGAGTTGAGTTTTCCTTGATGAGACAGTCATAATGGCATAGGTCTCATGACCTGAAGTAACTGTTTTTCAGAGCTCCGATGAGAGCTCGCCGGAGAGGCTGAGACGCTGACCTGCGTGGCACCACATTGGAGATTTGAAATGTTTTTATAGGCTGATTTCAAATGTGATCTTGTGTTGCACTCTACGTGTGTTCTATTGTGTTCCTTCATCTCACGTGCGTTGGATCTGTCACGTCAACTGATGAGGCATGATCCAATGCACCTTGTTTTTTTCTCTTTTATTTTTTTTATTTTAATTTCTAAATTGCATGTATCTTCAAAAATTCATAAAAAAATAGCTACATTAATATTTTTCACTCCAGTTTTTTCATAGTTTCATAAAAGTATTTCTTATTTTTGTGCATTTTTATTTCATAATTTACTGTTTTTCATGATTTTCTTCTTTTTGCATTTGTCTTAAATAGTTTAAAAATATTTTTGTGCATTTTTAAATTCTGAAAAAAATTTGTATATGATTCTTGAATTGTTTCTGACTTTCTAGATTTTTCTTGGTCAGTTGTGATCTTACTTGATGCATCATTTGCATTTTCATATTTATTTTCATTTGAAAATTCATTTCAAAAATCATTTTTATGCATATTATTTTATTTTATTGCATTTAGTTCTTGTTTGACCTTTGTTGACTGTTGTTTGACTTGAATCTTGGTTGATTGGGTCAAGTTTCATCAAGCTCAATAGATCTTGGGTGTTGATGGAGTGAAAACCTTAATCCACCAAAATGAATGATTGATCTTGATAATAGTTTGATCAATTCTTTGATTCAATTTGTTGTTTTGGTTTCCTTGTTGTCTCTTCTTCATCTCCCTTCTATTTTTTCTTTCTTTTGGTTGATGAAAATCTTTAACATCATGGATTGTTGATGATAAAAGATGTTTGAATCTACATTACTTTAAACACGTTGTTGAAGTGATCATTTAGATCAATCACTTCACTTTGGAGTAGTGATAGGTTGTCTTTGATCATTGATGAAAGTCCTTGATTAAGATGAGATCACTCCTCTTTTTCTTTTTAGTGTGACAAGCTTTAGGAGGATGACTTAAATGTCATTTCTCTAATTTGTATTAGCACATAAATTATTATTGACCGGTCTATCATAGTATGACCTTCCTTATAGATTGTGCTACGATTTCTTAAAATAATGCTAAATTAGTCCCAAATTGAAAACTAAGTCATTTTTATAAATGAGATTGTCAGTCTCCTAGTCTCCATGGTACTGTGTGAAATAGATTTGATCTTTTGTTATCAAAGAGAGGTAGTGGCATACTTGTTGATTTTATCCAAGTTGGAGCTCATCTCTTGGTAATGTATGAGACTGTGTTTTCATTCTTGTGGATGACTAGTTTAGTGTTCCTCAAAAATTGACAAATTGACCTATCTTTTCTAATCACTAACTCACTAATTTTTGTTTTATTTCTTTACAGTCATTTACTTTATGCTCTTTACTTATTGCCATTTATTTTATACTTTTATTTTAGCATTTCATATCATATTGTCATATTGCTTCTTTTTTTTTTGTCCACTTGGACTTGTGTTTTTGTTTATGTTTTTTTTTTTACTTTGTCCATTTGGACTTCCTCTTAAGACATTAATAAATATCAAAACTCTTAAAAAATTTGGTTACTTTGTGGACATGATGATACTACCCTATGCCTTATGGAGTTTTTGACTTAGAATTAGGACTTTGACCTTGAACTGGGAGTACATCTTAATACTTATTTGGATTCATCTGGTACCTTTGCCTTAAGGATTCTCTTGAATACTCATTTTAATTTGTGGGTACGTAGGCACGAGATTCAGGAAGTCTTGTCGAACACAAAAACATTAAAAAAATACTTCTTTTCTTACCTCGACCAATCTGTTGCAAGCAAACCATTTAAAAAGCAAAAAACGTAGATATTTTAATGGGATCCTATAGACTACTATAAACGTTTTGGGTGCTAAAACATTCTCATTGCGTAACCAACCCCCTTACCCTTGTCTCTGTTTATTTGTTCTTATTTTAGAACTTCTTTAGGTTTTGTTCGCTATTTTTCATTTCCTTTGAATAAAATAAAAGTGCGGTGACAACTCGTGTTTTATGAGTTAAGTTAATCAATATCTTACACTCACAATTTTTTCCACTGCACCTTGGTTGCAAGATTTCACTGCACAGTGAGAATGAAAGAAGAAAAGAAAATTGTATTTGGAGAAGAAAGAAGTTTAGGGTTTTAACGAGTGACAGAAGACGAATAATTGTTTCTGTAGAGTTTCTTTCTGCTCTCAACTTGAGATTTTCTATTCAACTGTGCAACTGCATTTCTGTGTCATGTGACAATCAATAATAGGGTACCTCCCTATTTATAGGTTGAGATTGTTTGCACACCAAACAATCTTCAACTAACCTAACAAGCTTAACTCAAACAACCAAATAAACTAAGTCTAGCGAACCTTTCGAAGACACACATTTTGACAGCTATAACAATTCTGACATTTCGACAACTTTTTTACCTCTGTCGAGTAACTTGCTTCGACACAAAAAATTACAATCAACAATAACAAACTCCTAAAACTTTCCCTATTAGCTAATAGTTAACAGAAAAATTAAACAAACATTCCAAACACTTGGTCAACTAGTGTAGCTAGCAGTAAGAACCGCTGATACCACATGTTCAACAAACATTATTAATGGACATGTAATGTATCCTCAATACGACAAATGAGAGAAGTTAGTAACCAGTTGAGACAATCCTTCAAAATGAACAAATCTAAGCATCAATGGCGGATATAATGATTAAATGATGTATTCCTTCAAATATAAATGATATTGGCTTACATAATTCGAAGAGTTTTCATGTGTTTTTTGGTTGTTACTTGTTACCAAGTTGTAATGTAATTTTGGTTAATCCTCCAAGCTCTATGTATCTTGTAAAGGTTTAACAGTGAATAATGCAAGAAGAAGAAAAAAGGCTATCTTACCTTCCCACCCACTTTCAATTTGTTTGGCTACTTAGATCACAACTTGCTATAAAGAAGAGATATTCAGCATTAGGTTCCATTCCAGTCTCAATGGAAAAAATATGTTTATTAGAACATATTTACATGATATAATATTATTGTACAATTCACTTAAATCACCTCCAAATTGAAAAAAAAAATGATAATAAATGTTGAATTCTCACAAATATGTTTGTGAGTATTGAGAAAGTAGAATGAAAGAGAATAATTATACATGCAGATGGAAGGAAACAAACATCCTGAGAATGTAAAGCTTCTTTCTAGCAATCATTTTCTCCAACATTATCAGCCATCGGTGCTTATGCTGAATCCTCAACCTTCTGAACCCCCAAATCATATCCTGTAAATAAAGCAGATTTTACTGAAAAATTCTTCTTTAACCAAAATATGAAAACTCAAAATCTTTTTAGAATGAAAGCATCACCTAACATGTTTACCTTCAAGTTTGATGCCTATATTACTGTTTTCCAAAGGAAATTTGCTTGATGTGGCCAATCATGGGCCGGTACTCCCCAGATGGTGGTCGACATTTTTGGCACAACTCAGGACAACGATAAATGTGAAGTTCTTCAAGTGCAGTGAGACGATGCATGTCACGTGGAAGACTCAAAAGTTGAGGACATGAATCAATATATAGTCTCTTGAGATGAGTCATTAATGTTAGACACTCAGGAAGCATCTTGAGATTTGAAAATTTTTTAATTTTCAAGGTTTCTAAAGTCTCTGCTGCATCATCAATCCATCTAGGAAGTTTCAGAAGTCGTCGAAAACTCTTAAGATGCAGATGTTTCAACCTCAATCTCGGAATTGGGCCTTCATAGTTCAACGACAGGTTGAACATCCGACAATCTTTAATTACCAGATTTTGCAATTTCGGGAAAATATAAAGAGGGAAAGACTCCAAGCTCTTACAAGATCGAATATGCAATGTTTCGAGGGAAGTGAGTTGTGTTTGTGCCCCGCTGACCAAAAGCTTCATATTGTCACAACGATATAAACCCAAAACTTGAAGATGATTCAAGCTTGCAAATTCATCCAGTGACAGAAAAAGTTGTTTTGTGGTTATATACAGCTTTCGAAGGCTTGTCAACTTCTGGAATCCTTGGGGCAATGTTTCAAGTTCCGTGCATCCAAAGAGGGACAAAACTTGCAAACATTGGAGTTTGAAAATAGAGCGGGGAAGTGTTTTGATTTGGCGGTTATTTAGAATATAGAGAACACACAGGTGCTTCAATTTGGCAATTGAGGTTGGCAGAGTCTGAAATGAAGAACTAGTTAAATCTAAGTATATTAAGTATCTGTACCTTAATAACCATGTGTGCAAAAGATTTTTACTTTCAAGACCCACTCCTTGAACAGGATATAATATAGTTCTCACTCTTTTGGACTTGGAAATCAAAGTATGGTCAAATAAAACATTTTCTAAAATTGATAAATGCCTTGCTTGCTCTGGTATACTTTGATTATCAGAGGTTACCAATACAAAGTCCTCTCTTGCAACATATATTGCAAGATCGTGTATCAAATCATGTACTTTGAACTTGTAATAGTAGCCATAGTCTCTGAAATCCTCAAGAAATGATTGTGAATTTAACTCACCTATATATTCTCTTACAATACTCTCTATCTTTTCACTTCCATTTCGGGGTTGAACTAACCCAAGGGCTGCAAAAAGATTTATAATTGTGTCACTATCGAAGGTAAAACCTTTGGGATAAAGGGAAAAAAAAGCAAAACATTGCTTCAAATAAGATGGCATCTGATCATAGCTTAATTGTAATGCTGGTAGGATATCGCCTCTCTTCATTTCTGAATTCCATAATCCGTGGTCTCTTACAAATTCCCACTTGTGCAAATCATAGTTTGAAAACAAAGAACTTCCTAATGTTCTCACAGCTAGGGGAACCCCTGCGCATTTTTTGACTAGTTCTTTTCCGATCTCTACTAGATTTGGATACTTTTCTTCTTCTCCTTCCTTGAAAGCCCATTTGACAAACAGAGATAAACATTTCTTTGTATCAAGACCTTTTAAAACATAGGACGGAACTGTACCCATCATCGAAGCAAGTAATGTGTTCCGTGTTGTTGCCAAGATTTTACTTCCTGACGTACCGACTTTTAACAAATCTTTCAACTCAATCCATTTTACACGATCATCATTCCATATGTCATCTAACACTAGTAAAAACGTTTTACCAGAAAGTTTACGCCTCAGATGACTTTGTAGCTGCTCAATATCAAAGTGGTCCATATTCTCCTGGTGAGCAACAGAAGCTGAATTGATGACTTTAATAAGAATCTTCCTGAGGTCAAAATCATCAGAGGCACACACCCACATCTTTAGTTGGAAAAGATGATCGATCCTCGGATCATTGAACAAGAATTTTGCAAGCGTGGTCTTTCCCAAGCCTACAATACCCACAATGGGAATAACGCATAGGCTTTGATCACCATCCGTGTGAGGATGAGTTGGCTTCAAAAGCTGGATAATTACTTCCTTATCTTTCTCCCTCCCAATTACACTTGAAATATCAACATATGAATGAGTCATTTCTCTACTTTGTCTGGGCTCAACATCGGTTTTCACAAGTTCAAACCAGGCTCCATCGGCTGCAGCCTTATTCAACCTGCCTCTAATATCTTTAATTTGATGTGCTATCCTAAAACGGAAAGCAGTTGGATTAGAGGAAGAAACATAGCGGCGTACCTTCACCCTTGAGCTTCCAGAAGCTTCAATAGCTCGTTTCAGGTTGACATGCAAACGAAATTCGTCCAAAACATCATCAGCATCAGAGCAAATGCTTTGAATCTGCCTTAGCCATTCACGCAAAGCATGTTGCTGGTTTTTCTTCTTCTCGGCATCCAACAAAAGACTTGTGATAATTGATAGAGTAGTTTTCATCTCTTGAAGATCATGATACACGCTATAGGCACGAGCAACTTGATCAAAAGCAAAAGAAGCGAGCTTCCCTAAGAGCGAATTAGCAATATCAAACAAAAAAGTATCAGCCATGTGAATGTGAACTAGAATAGTATAGCAAAAATGGAATTGGGATGTAATTATGCTTTCATATGTATAGCCAAGTCAACTAACACAGGTTGTCAGTCAGTCTTGCCTAGTTGTTGTTTTTTGGTTTATTTCCAAATTGCAATGTACAAACAAGTTGTTATTGTCAGAAGAAACTAAGAACCAAATGAGTGGTTTTCAGGAAAAGAAAAGTATACAAGTAGGGGTGTGCATGGTTCTAAAACCAAACCAAATTGAACCAAATACATGGATCAGTTTGGTTTTTAAAACCACTTTTACAAAACTGATTTATTTTTTCAAAACCAGTTTATGTTTGGATCAGTTTGGTTAATAACTGGTTTACACAAAAAAACCAGTTTTTGTTTGGACCAGTTTTAAAACTAAATTTCCGTCAAACTTATTTCGACTAAAATTTAATTCTTAATCTAACAACTTATTCTTAACTCCATCCAACCATTTTTTAAATTAATAACCATTCATTGGCAGTAAATTGAATTGAATTGAAATAATTAGTAATACAACAAGCTCGCATCAATCAAGTAAGCATTAAACAGCACAACAAGTTTGAAGTTTCCAAAGGTTGGTGAAATTGACTTCATTTGGAACAGCAAACCCAGTGAAACAGAAATAGTTTAAACATGAGTGATGTTTGGATAAACAAAATATTTGCAACTTATAAAAAGTCCATATTATATGTATACACAAAAGAGCAATTTAGTCCCAAAAAGAAAATATTGTCATATTCACACTTAATTTTTTTTAGACTGAAATATGGTACTTATTATATTTAGCAACAGAAATAGTAAAATAAAAAGAGGGTGATAGGTTGAAATTACCTAGCAAAAGAGCAAACCCATCCAAACCCTCGATTTCCAGCCATATCCACCATTGTCGCAGCCAGCGGGGAGGGTTTCAACAATAATGTATAATTCCTTCGCTGAACTGAGTATGAAATGAAGATCATATTGAACTAATTTGTATATTCTTACCTTCACAGTTTTGGTCAATATACCAGCAGGAAGAAGCTTCCAAATAGTGCACACATGGAAGAAGGAAGTGATGTTACTTCATTGGAACCAAGAAGCTATTACAAACTAAACTATGATTAACACACTTCACAGAGATCAATTTCATAAACATCATGGAAAGTAAGGGACTGCACTGATAAAGTTTTCAAACCGGGAGAACCAACCTTAAGATGGATGGATAGTGAGACAAGGTCAAATTTTGTATGAAAAAACTACTAATGAGAATTATTTACTGTCTGAGATCAAATTTCTAATTACGTGCACTCTTTCATTCAAATAAGAAAAATTTACTAAACAAAAATTCTACAATTTCGTTTGCTGTTTTGGATATTTGCTGAATTCTTTTATAAAATAATATGGATTATATATACAATGTCATTCGACTTTTGATTTACTCTTCTCCTATATATTTTATTTTTAAATACAGGGGTTAAATCAAAACTCATATAGGATAAATCAATATTAATCAATAAATTAATAATACTTTAGAGAAGAGAGGCCTTGGCCTTTTTAGATCAAACCTTACTAAAGTGTATTATTTGTATCAATTTCATATAATACAAATAATATAAAATATATTTAAATAGGCTCTTCGTAGTCTATGTGTGCAATCTTAGTTAATCTAGAATAAACGTCACCATCTGAGTTTATCAAATCCATGAGCTCATTTGCAGTCACTACAATCATCTAAAAGTGTTGTTGGTCATCGACGTGATGTACTAGAGGAGGAGGCGGCGGCGCGTCATCAACAGGCACTCGGACATCAGAAGATCCATCATCAGCTGGGGGTGGGGTGATGTGTGGATGTGATATAGTGAGGTACCACTCTATGTAACCATCCTCACACTGCGAGGGACGCTGAACAGGGACCGCTCGACCTCTAATGGCACGACCCGAGCTGAGGAAGTTACTTTGAAACCACCAATCAATAGCTGTAGACAGTATATTTGGAACTGGTCGTGGTATACTCTGAACATAGCCATATTTTCGCAGACATCTCTCAGGCAAGTATCTAGCAACCAAGGTCTCCCGGCGCATATAACCTGAATATAATGAGGACTCCTCGAACTTACGGTGGACTATATGAGCATCGTATGGTGTCTAGATGACATCATCTATGGTCAGCACATCCAACCTATTCCTATACTCAACTACACCACTAGGATGTGTCTGCCTCGCCCTCCACCTCTTTGTCTGTGGGCCCCCACCTCGCAATGTTGCACCCTCCTATCACAAATGGTAGGGAAATGCTCGTAGATCTAGCACTGAAATCACAACAAATAATAATTTTAAAACGATATTCGTAAAAAATAAATACGAAAGCAATAACATACAATAATTTAAAATATACCTAAAATATACTCAAATACCCAGCAAGTTGTCTGGCCTCAAAGACCGTCGTCACTCCAATCGTTTTATACAACTAGGTCAGCGTTGCACACCGCTAAGCCCAATTGGTTTCCTCGAGGTTTCTAAAGAGACACAAATACCGGGCATCAACATAAACACCAGACTTGTCTACAAAGATAGTACATGCTACTACATGTAGCATGTACGCCCTAGCGGCAACCTCATATCTCCCAGCAGCTACAAGTTGATCGTAAATCCTCCAAAGCCAGTGCATAGGAAGGTGCACACCTCTGATATCACCAAACTCCTACCGCACATCCGCCTCAGTCAAACTCAAATCATGTGACACAATCTGACAAGCAGTGGTTACGGTAAGGGTCTGTTTGGTTCAAAGAAGGGGAAGGGAGAGATTTTAATAAAGGGGAGGAAATGGGAGGTATACGTATGTTTGGTTCAAAAGAAGGGGATGGGAGGGAGAAGTTTTAATCAAATATATGTTTGGTTCAAAGGAGGAGGGAAGGGGTTTTAAAACTAATTTACCTTTTTACCCTTAAAATATTATAACACTCATGCTAAATAAATAAAAATTTAAAAATGATATTCACCAAAAAAGAAATTTGTCAATTCATAAACATAAAAGATAATCAAACACAAATTATTTAATATTTAAAATACTCTAAAATATCTTAAAATGAAAATAAAATATTAATAAACATCATAAAATCACATTATATGATCAATGATCATATGAACCATCTTCTCATCTTGATGATCCATTTAATCCTATAAATATTTATAAAATTAAAGTCTACATAATATATAACTCATACTATAAATTTATCTTGATATGTAATACAATACAACTAACTTATAAAATAGTTAAGTTATTACAAACAAAATATTAAATAAAAATGAACAGAATAAAGCACATGGAAAAAAAGATGAATCATACTGATAAAAATAATAGAGTTGCCTTTTAAAAAATATGGTGTAATTCTAATAAGGTGACAAAAATTAAGGTATAATATTAATAAAGATAATTAAAAAATTTATTTAAAAAGTGAGGGTAATTTTATCAATATAATAAAATAGATTTTATCATAACTCCTCTCTCTCCCCTCCCCTCCGAAAACCCCTAATTTGAAGGGAACGAAAAAGTGCTCTAATAGGGATTCGGATTACCTCTAATCCCCTCCCATCATAAAAAATTGAACCAAACACACTTATTTTAAAATATTCCATCCATTCCTCCCCCTCCCCTACCCTCCAAAGTCCTCCAACCAAACAGACCCTAAGAATCGGAGCCGTCTAGAATAGGGAGATCGAACAACACAACCACATCATCCAGAGTGACAGTCATCTCCCCGAACGGAAGATGAAATGATGATGTCTCCTTATACAACCTCTCAACAAAGGCACTAAGCAATGGAGTGTCCAACATGGTGAGTGAGCAATTGGCAAAATCAAACAGCTGGAATTCCCGTATAATCCAACTGACCTACTCAGGCATCAGAATCTTCGGGAAGCCTTTCATCTTCGATTCATGAGATGTGATCTTTAGTTCACGTCGCTCCTGTGACAAAAAAGTTATTAACAAATTAGTTCATACTTAAACAAATTATACATATATAAACAAAATTTAAATTTAAACGTAAAAGACATATACCTTGCCCCGTCATAATCGTAAGGCCACATGTTCACCATACTCTGTAAGCATAGATCGACCAATGGGTCTTCTTGGGAATCCTCCATCAGTGTGCATAGAGGGCTCAGTCGAAGGAACTGTAACCTCTATCTCAATATTAATTGATGGGCTCAACTCACCAGCAACAGAATCTGGTTGTACCTCCTCAACAAACTCCCGAGCAACCTCCTCGAGAACCTCCCGAACAGCCACTGGCTCAACTACCTGAGCAACCATCGGCTCTGTTAGAACAAGATTTAGTTTTGCATGATATCTCTAAGTTTTTTTATAATAACAAAGTGGTATTTGTGTGAGAACAATTTTGGTGCTCTAAGATTTGTTTTTCTGAAGAATTAACAAACAGGTTCTGGCTCTGATAGAGATCATATTCAACAATTACCCTGATATGACCAAAGTCACTTCCGTGCTATAAGAAGCAAGTTTACTTCTGATCTACTCTACTTCAGAAAGATTCTAAGAAGACAATATGTTGTTGTTGTAATGTTCTCTTGGTTTATGTTTCTGATCATGCTCCTGAAGGCTTTCAAGCTTTTGAAGTCATAATCTTCTAAAGACTGGGTGCTGAAGACTTTGAAGAGAAGTTTCTATTGAACGAAGTTCTGAAGAGTCTGAAGACTTGAGTTTTTGAAGAATAAGTGTTGAAGACTCTGAAGGCAAAGTTTTGCTAAACGATGTTCTAAAGACTCTGAAGACTTAAGTTACTAATGACCAAAGGTTCTAAAGACTGAGTGCTTATAGTTCTGAAGAAAAGGTTCTGGTGAACAAGTTCTGAAGACTCAAGACTCTAAAGACCTACTGATTAACTCTTTTACTCATGCTTCAATCATATCTTTTCATAATCCTCTGATGTAAAGAAGATAAGCTCAAACGTCTACAAGGGAAAACAGTAGATAGTACGTTTT